ACACACTACACAGTGAAGGACTGAAATCCTGCAGTGCCCGCAAGGTGCCTCTGCTCGAGAAAGCACATGTGCGGGCCTGTCTGAAGTTTACCAATGAACACCTGAATGATTCAGAGGAGAACTGGGTGAAAGTGTTGTGGTCAGATGAGAACAAAATTAAGCTCTTTGGCATCAACTCAACGTGTTTGGAAGAGGAGGAATGCTGCCTATGACCCCAAGAACATCATCCCCACTAGAGATGTCGCGAACCGTCCGCGAACTTCTCGCAAACGGTTCGCCACGGTTCGCCACGAGCTGTTCGCGGCGAACATGGATGCTGTCCAGGAAGTAGGAGGGTCTGGGAGGGAGGGTCTGCTGGAGATTGGCCGGGATGTGTCAGCTGACCTGAGTTCGCCGCGAACAGCTCGCTGCGAACCGTGGCGAACCGTTCGCGAGAAGTTCGGACGGTTCGCGACATCTCTAATCCCCACCATCAAACATGGAAGCATTATGCTTTTGGGGTGTTTTTCTGCCAAGGGGACAGGACAACTGCACTGCATCAAAGGGATGATGGACGGGGCCATGTGCCGTCAAATCTTGGGTGAGAGCCTCCTTCCCTCAGCCAGGGCATTAAAGATGGGTATTCCAGCATGACAATGACCCAAAACACACAGCTGAGGCAACAAAAGAATGGTTAAAGAAGAAGCACAGCCATCTCCAGACCTTAATCCCATGGAAAATCTGTGGAGGGAGCTGAAGGTTCGAGTTGCCAAACGTCAGCCTCGAAACCTTAATGACTTGCAGAGGATCTGCAAGGAGGAGTGGGACAAAATCCCTCCTGAGATGTGTGCAAACCTGGTGGCGAACTACAAGAACCGTCTGACCTCTGTGATTGCCAACAAAGGTTTTGCCACTACGTCTTAGTGGTCAAATACTTATTTCACTCATTGACATGCAAATCAATTTATAACTTTTTTGACATGCATTTTTCTGGATTTTTTTTATGTTATTCTGGCTCTCACTGTCAAAATACACTAACCATTACAATTATAGACTGATCATTTGTCAGTGGGGAACAAATACCTTTTTCCCTTAATGTAGAAGAGGAGGAGTGGGAAGGAAGGAGGGGCGGCAAAATGCATCCTTGCCTTTGTTGCCAAAGATCCTTGCACTGGGGGAGGCCTTGATCTCCATTGTCTGGGGGCCCTGTAAGCTGTCAGTCCACCCCTGAATAAGTGACTGCTTTTATACATCACTGAGGACCATGGAAAACCATTTATTTTTATTTCTCAAAATTCTGCATTAAAAAAACTATAATGAAATAAATTAAAATAAAATTTGTGTATAAAAGCACAGTTATCACAAAAGTTAGTGGCTCACATTCTCAACAAAACAGAAAATCTGAATCATTTGCAGGAGTACTCTAAAATATGGTCTAAAATATTCAATTAATAGAAGAATATATTATTGGTATTTATTTTTTCACAATGCATTGTACTCCACACACTTTGAAGGATCAGTTAGAAAATGCTTTTGGCAAACAGTCATTAATCTCTTCAGTCCCTGAATGTATTTCCGCTGAGTTTCATCATTCAGCACATGCGCCACATGCCTGGAAGAGATTTTTTCACGGCCTGTACGGGCATGAATACCCACCATTGTAACACCCATAGGCCATGGTGCATTGCCTATTGCCATCTGCAGATAGGCATCATTTGCCTTTACGTATTCCCTTTGCAACATGAATTTAATAATGTCTGTTATCGATTCTTTGATGTCAGCAGGCAGAGTTTTTTTCCGCAGCTTCCGAAACAATGGTTTTAGATAGGATTCAGTTTGCTTATGGGTGGCACTTGCCACTTTCCCTGAAATGCTACATTTCACACTGTTATCCCTTGAATTTAGATCTTTAGCCCATACACCAAGAAGGAATCTCAGAACTTTGTTTATTATGCCCATGTCTTTGATATCATCCCCTTTTCCTAAACACTCTCCCAAAGCCACAAGGTCTTCAATTGTTGTGTTTTCTTCATGGACTTTCAAATCGTTCTGAGTATCCTTCTCTCTTGTCTCCTGGCCAAGTTCAATTAAATATTGTTGGTCAATCTCATCCATGGCATCTTTCAAATCGTTTCTTAAACCTTGGTTTATTTCCGGAGCAAGGATCTCAATTTTTCTCAACCTGTGAAATGAATCATAATCTGTTTCTCCAAAGAGCCGGATTGGCTCACCTCTATCTCTTAACCTCCGAATGACCTCCTGGTTTGAGAGAGTCACTGGTATCTTCTCTTCAACCAGCTCCAAATCCAGACCTGGATTATTTGATGATGTAGGCACCTTCTCTTCTTCTTCATCTTGGCTCTGCACCGTGAAGCCACATCTTTCAAAATAGTCTTCCTTTTCTTTTTCAGCAAGTTCACTGCGCTTAAAATATGTTTTTCCTTCCACAAACAGGTCTTTCTCTGCTAGTTGCTTCCTCTTCCGGGCAATCTCAGCTTTTAAAATATCCATCTCTATGGTATCCAGAAGCTGTACTATCTATAAAAAAAAATAAACAACCAATATAATATAAGATTTATTTTCAGGTTACATTCTATTATTTTTTTTTCTTGCTTATTATATTATAAGTTAATTTTAAAAATTAGTGTGATAAAACTTGACTTCCTTGCCAAATAAATAAAGTACAAAAGGTGAAAAAAATTCAACTTTTTAAATTTGTTTCTATAAACAAAGCAATACTTACCAGGTCCTAGAACAGTGATGGTGAACCTTTTTGAGCCCGAGTGCCCAAACCGCAATGCATGCCAACTTTTTTTCCTCAAAGTGCCAACACGGCAAATAAACCTGAATACTGAGGTTTAAGTTTAGAAAAAACAACTCATACAGTTGTCCAAATTAATTATCTTCTTTCCCCCAGCATCTCCTCCTCTCCTCTTCTCCCCCCAGCATCTCCTCCTCCCCTCAGATTCTCCTCCTCCCCCCCCCAGATTCTCCTCCTCCTCCCCCCCCCACCCGATTCTCCTCCTGTTGGTATGTGATATGTTGGTCTCCTGGTGGTGGTTAACTTGGCAGTTGCCTTCTAGAGCTTTGGTTTAAATTACACATGTGCAATTTGTTTTGGAATTAAATTAATTTTGACCGAATTCATCCAAATTCTGCAATTCAAAAGGGTCTGAATTGAAAGTAAACAAATCAAAATGAATCAAAACATTACCAAGCAAGAAAAAAGTGAAAAAAGGTTTGAACCACCGCAAAGATAGCAAAAGCAGTAACTTGTTACTGAGCCATTTGTTTTGACAAGGTTAGCAAAATAGGAAGTTATCTACTAAAGAGCTAAAAGAGCAAAAGTAGGAAAATTACTTTTTTTGTAGATATTCCATAAATTGGTGCTTTGTAACTATGTGATTGCCTCCTTCATTTATACCCTGCAGGGAATAATGAGGTGTCCGAAATTCAAAAATTAACAAATCAAAACATGACCATTTTTAGTTTATATCAAACAACCTTTAAATAGTTTGACATAAAACCAGGGAACAGCACAACAAAAACCAAGCCAACATAATGACAACACAAAGATTGAGTCATTACATTGCTCAAAGGACCACTATAGGCACCCAGGCCACTTCAGCTTAATGAAGTGGTCTGGGTGCCAGGTCCATCTAGGATTAACCCTTACTGCTGTAAACATAGCAGTTTCAGGGAAACTGCTATGTTTACTTGAGGGTTAATCCAGTCTCTGTGGCTGTCTCATTGACAGTCGCTAGAGGCGCTTCCACACTTCTCACTGTGATTTTCACAGTGAGAAGACGCCAATGTCTATAGGAAAGCATTGAGAATGCTTTCCTATGGACTGACTGAATGCGGAGGAGGAGGAGAGTCCCCAGCACCGAGGGAGCCCAGCACTGGAGAAAGGTGAGTGTTTATCCCCCTTCTTCCCCCTTCAGCCCGGCGGGAGTGGGACCCTGAGGGTGGGGGCACCCTCAGGGCACTATAGTGCAGGAAAGGAGTTTGTTTTCCTGGCACTGTAGTGGTCCTTTAAAGAATATCTAATCAAAATGTAAGACACAAAATACCATCATAAAATGACAAAGTGAGTTATATATTGATCATATTAGAACAGTAGAAAAACTAGGATTATAACTGAAAGGATAAGGTTTTCATTAGGATCACAAGACCAAATATAAATTTTAAATGGAACATTGTTATAGTTCTATAACATACTTTGTACATGCTTTAAATACTATAATGTATCAATAAAGAGAAACTGCCATATCTGAGATTTTTGCACAATTTTATATCTGACAATTTTTACATTTATGTTTTAAGTTTAATTTTAAAGCAACTAAACACATTTAACCCATGATGTTGCACATACTGTGTTATGTAGGTAAAAAAGGAAAAATAGATCAGATGCATGCTGGGAATGATTACATTCTAGGCAGAAGACATGGTAAATGTAACATTCAGCTATATCACTCCATTCTAATAAAAACTATTTAGAGAAGCACAAACAAGTTTTTTTAAATAATAAAAAAAAATATACGAAAAAACAAAATCAATAAAACAGCCGCTGGGAATCAAAACACCTTAAAAAACTGTTATTTTTAACAAATAAAAAAACCAACATTTATGCAAGCGCTTAGTAGGTCTGTCCCTAAAAAACAAACTTGCCAGGGGTTGTACAAGAGCCTATTCATATGGCTAATACCTAAGTGTCCAAACATACAAATACAATCTGGCACATACAGTGAATGAGCATACAGTTATGCTAGCAACAGCCTTCAATGGAAAAACAGTGTTCTAAAAGCTTTTCAGTCCTACAACTTTGTATTTAATATTCAGGTGGTGCAGATATATTCCAGTACCTTAAAAAGGTAAAGACTATATAGTGTAACACTATCACATTTATAAAAAAAAAAAACCACACATTGAACCCAATAAAATAACTATGTCTATATAACTCCACGCTCAGCTGATCAGTTTAAAGTTATATTGAATCACTTGGATAAAATCTGAGTGACTAAAGTGCAATCATTTTGGTGAAAAAAAAAAAAAGACTATAATGCTAAGAGGTGAAAATTGAATTTACCTTGTAATTGAAAAAAGCAGCACACTTGATAAATCACTACAATCACACATCCAGGATGTTCAGAGAATAGAACAGACCCCACCAGTAAATCCAGTGGTTACCTTGTTGTCTGTAACTGGGAGAGATGTCTTGAATGCACAGGATGAATAGGAAACTATAGATTGACATTCTGTAGCAAGAGATTTTATTGGGTAGATTGGCTGGATTTGTCTCATTGGATACTGGTCAATGGCTTTGAAAAACCATTAATATGCTAATAAGGTTTCCCACCTGGTATCTCCATATTCATAATGAAGTATTGAAATTCAAACATAGCATTGGTATTACAATGGCTGGGACAGGAGAACAATTAACCTTAACATTGTTTATGTAGATCTCTCAGAGTGGATTTAATGAACTGCATACTTTTACCAATCCCACCCACTTCCTTTCTATGTACTAAAGAGAGATTTAATTGTGAATTTCATGGGAATAGAGTTTTAATAGTGGAATGATATAATCATGGTTTCAATTAGGGTTTATTTATGAAACAACTTTTGTATACATCAGATGTTATTAGTTAATATACAGTCCTAAAATAGACATAGTTTGTTGGAAAATTTTGTAGCTAAACATAAAAGTATAACGTTTGTTGCCAACTTGATTTAAAGGGGCACTATAGCCACCTAGACTGTTTCCTCTCAATGTATTGGTCTGAGTGCAGTGACCCTGTTCTTATCACATGCGTCACATGAAGCCAATAGAAAGTAATGAAATAAATGAGAAACTGTGACTGTGGGGCAGTCTCTTTGCACCAAAACAACTACATTATGTTTTAGTGCTTTTGGAGGTTAGAGTTGCCCCTTTAAACTACACAGTTTATGATAATACTCATGTTAAATTGTTTTTATCTTGTGTTACTGTATAAATTACACTCATAAATAAATGAATAGTTTTAAAAAAAAACTAAAATTCCTTCCAAGTAAACATGTAATTCGATACGGTTTCCATCAATCCTCCACTGTTTACAAAGGGTTTATGTATGGCGGGAACATATTGTATATATTTAGTACAACAATGTTACAAACATCTCCAAACATAAAAAATAAATAAAAGTAAATTAGAAATAATTTATATATAACTGGAAACACCATAAATAAAGTGTATATTTTTGGTGGATAGGTCGTTTAGAAACCTTTATTTTAATTGGTTAGTAAAGTGATTACAGCATCCATTCAAATCAGTTAAACACTTATTAATTCTCCCAAATATTTCATTATGCAAACTATTAGATTTAATTACCATGTGGCAAAATAATGCATTTAAGCAAGTAGAAAGGCAGTTTAGCATGTATAGGATGTAAATGATTATAATCACATGACCAGCACTATGCAATAGGCCATGGGTCCTCAAACTCCGGCCCCCCAGATGTTGCTGAACTACAACTCCCATGATTCTTTGAATTACATAGATAGCCAGAGAATCATGGGAGTTGTAGTTCAACAACATTTGGGGGGCCGGAGTTTGAGGACCCATGCAATAGGCTGTGTGCCTTGTCCCTTGAGTAATACTGTGTAGAAATGGTCTTTTTCTTTGTGGGAAGCTAGCCTGGGGTGTGACCTTTCTAGACAACTCACCACCATACCTGATGAATGTAATTTGACTATTTGTCTAGGGAAAGATGCCTGACTAAACAAATTGAATGGGCGTTAACTCTCTTCCTAAAGAAATGTCTTCTCTAAACCAATATGTCAATCTTTTAGGTAATCCTTAACGTGCTAGAGTGGCACTCTCTGGCCATTAATGGGGTGCATGGCAATGTATTTGGTGGGTTTGCTAGTTCATTAAATCAATATGATCATACCAGATCCCTGGTACATTAACATGGCCAATGGATTATTTAATCATATGGCCCCAATAAGCAAAGTGTCCCCTTCTGGCTCTTTATTTTGTATAGGGCCATTGGGAAGGTCCTTTCAAAGTTTAGGGTGATCTCAAAGATATCCATTGCAGGTCATATATACACATATAATAAAAAATCAACACTCCCAGCTAGCTTTTTTGGGAACTTCTTTTACTAAAAAGTTCAATAGTCAATATTTCAGTTCCATTCAGGAACTTTCATCAGTGCAACCACTTGTACTGATGAAAGTTCCTTTCATTTTTAGTAAAAGAAGTTCCCAAGAAAGCTACCTGGGAGTGCTGATTTTTCTCTTTCATACATTTAGTGCAATCAAGCACTGGGTCAAATAACTAAGTAGGACTGCAAGGCTTTTTTTCCTTTCTCATAATATATATATATAAATTATTTTTACTTTTTTAATGTATATAATGCATTTTAAAATGAATTCCTTTGTCTTTTCTTTAACTGATGCAGTCAAGAGCCGTGCTTTGTCACTCGGCTGGAGCAATTAAAGTGTTAACTCAGTGCTAGTTAGAAAGGCTGAATCTTTTGAAAAAATAAAGTTTGGGGGAATATCTGAACTGCTTCACGTCTGTTTAATCATTTTAGTCCTACTGAGTCCAGGTGTTAAGCTGGCTGATTTTAGGAATTTGAAAGGGATAATTTTTTTTTAATGTTTTTACTCTTGAAAAGTCAATTTGGTGGATCTTACACAGAACAGAGTGAGAAATGATAATTATTGGTTAAATCTCAGGGCAGGGGGAAATGTACTGACTGAGCGTGGCAAATCTGCTGTTAGCATGTTTATCTCCCATCTATATTGTATATATCTTGGTTTTTACAGTTGCATCACTACTGCATGTTCTGTTGGGTGTGTCCCAATTCTATATTTTCTATATATTTGAAATCCAGACCAGATTTTTTTTTGGTTGAGCCCCCCATACCTATCCTCTACAGGAAACTATAAATTTGAGGAGAGTCTTTGGAAACAGTTTAAGCAGCAAGTACTGCCGTTAAGTGTAACAGTTAACCAAGAGTTGGAGCCCAGTTGCAGGAGATGGCACAAGGAGATGGCAAAAAACAAAAACACAGTACAGATAAAGGGGTAATCCAAAGGCAGGGTCAGACAAGAAGCAGAAGTCAGGGCTGGCAGCGGAGTTTCATAGTCAGTAAGGCAGGCAGAGGTCAGAGTCCAGGAAATCAGTCAGCAGAGTAACAAATATACTGCAGGAAACACCAAACAAACAAAATAACCAGATACTAGGTCCCAGGCAGAGCTGGCTTTTATAGCCTGCTGATGAGGAGCAGCTGACCCTAATTGGTAAGGGGCTGCAGGTGGATCAGCACTACTCCATCCAGGCAAGGAGTCAGGAAGCAGAATAATGCAGACAGAAACTGAAGCCCCCTGGTGGACAGCATGGTAAAGAACCTGACTGGGATGCTGGAGTTGCTGTTTGCAGGGTTTGGGGTGCACCATGACAGTTAGCATGTTTATCTCCCATGTTAAAATTAGTACAGGATCCACCAATATTGGGGTACTGTGAAATAGTGGTGGACTTAACACAATGTGACCATATGGTGTGTGATACTTTGAATTTCAATGTATGTTGCTTAATGTAGACCCAGCAGATTGGGTATCCATATTCGCCGTAAAATTGTAAGGACACGCTGCTGAGGCATACAGAGGCATGTCAGATGAGGATATGCAGAACTATGACAAGGTAAAAGAGACACTGTTAGCCTGGTATGCTACAACCCTAGAGACTTACCACCAGCTCTTTCGAAAGTTGAAAAAGAACGACAAAGACTCTTTTACAGAGTGGGCATGTCGCCTACACCAGGCAGCCATGTGCTGCCAAGCATTGAGGAGGTGGTCCAGCTAATGTTGCTAGAACAATTTTATAATCCGCTTGCTGTGGAGACAAGGGAATGGGTTAGGGATCACCGATTCCTCACCCTTAACGAGGCTGCCAGGCTGGCAGATGAAAATCAAGATGCCAGGAAGACAGAATGACCCGTACTCTGTCCTCAAACCAGACTTGCTACCCACACTCCAGGTTTTAATTCCTCTGCAACAACAGCCCCCACCGCATGCCAGTACACGGCCAGCTCCACAGACAGTGCCTCGATGCCTTAGATGTGATCAGATTGGGCATGTACAAAGCAATTGTTCCATGGAGCGGTGCTGCATGGAAGGGTCCAAACACAGCCTCCCAGTAACCCAGGCAGGTGTTCACTATTTTCAGGCAAAGGGACTTCCAAATGCTATGTCAGTGGGTGTGGGGGTTGACACCTACACTGCCAGAATGGAAAATGAATACCAAGATAACAGGAGGACAGAACGACCCATATCCTGCTCTCAAATCATACCTGCGACACACACCCCTGGATCTAATCCTCTGCAACGACCGGGACCCCCACCACCTCAAGCCAGTACACAGCCTTCTCCATGGACAGAGCCTCGATGCATTAGAATGGGCATGATTGGATCAATTGCCCCTTGGACCAGCCTTGCATTACTTGATCCAGACCCAGTCCCCCAGTAACTCAGACTGCTGTTCACTGCTTTTGGGCAGAGGGACCTTTGAACCTTATGGCTACTGGTGTGGGGTTGGATAAGTTTTGTCCAGATGAATACTGGGGACAATTACATGAAGCTGACCCAGTACAAGCTGTGGCCATTGACAACCAAACTCACCACAAGCAAACAGTGTTTGTTAACGGGACGACAGCTGAAGGATTGCGGGATACCAGGGCAACTCTAACTTTGGTTCAAAGACACATGGTCTGGCAGACAGAAAGAACCGGACGCTCTGTGTTGGTTCCAGTTGCTGGAAATTAAGTATACCACTTACCCACAGCAAAAGTCCATCTCTATTGGGGCGCTGGATCTGGCAATGTGGAAATCGGGATAATGAAAGACCTACTCACAGAAGTACTACTAGGGAACGACCTGGGCCAGCTCACTTCCTGATTCTCCAGCCAACCAGCAATGGAGGCAAACCTAGTAACAACCCTACCACAGGCTTGCTCGATGGAGGCTGTAACACACTTGGACTAGGCACAGACACCTTCATGTTTGGTCTGGGAGCTGTATAAAGCCAAGTTAGGGACGGATAGAGGAGATCATCTTGTGGGTCATATTAGAAATTGTTGCTTCAGGAGGTGAGCTATGCTGCTGTGAAAAAGAATACTAGGCCCTGGTCCGAGCATTGAACAAATTACAGCCCTATCTGTATGGACACATGCTTTCTCTACTAATGGATCACAACCTGTTGGTGTGGCTTAACCAGGTGCTTGGGAACAATGGCCACTTGCTGTAGTGGAGCCTAG